TCTTTCTCTCTTTGTTTTCCTCTTTCCCCCACACTCCCCAACGATTTAAAAGGTTTTTTGGAAAAAAATAAAAAAGGAAGGAAGAAAGAAAGAAAGAAAGGTAGAAAGAAAGAAATAATGTAAAAGAAAAAAAAAAGAGACATAAAGAAAGAAAAGAAGGATGAAAGAAAGAAAGAATGAGGGAAGGAAGGAAAGAAAGAAAGAAATAAAGATAGAGAGAGAGAAGGAAGGAGGGTGCGTGTTTGTAATTTTTTATTTTTTTTCCCTTTGCAGCGTTGTCGTTTCTTTCGCTTTTTTTTCTAGCAATGAAATAGATAGATAGATAGATAGATAGATAGATAGATAGATAGATAGATAGATAGAGAGAGAGAGAGAGGTTGACTACTGCGGACCATCGGCACACGCATCGATGTGCATATGTTTATTTCTGGCCCGCAGTAGCCAACTACGGTCAACATCAGAATGGGTGATCGTGCGTGAGTTTCTCTGTTCGTGGCTTCCGGGTCTATCTCTGCGTCCGGAATAGGGTTGTCTCTCTGTGTCCCTGTCGCGTCCGATTTATGTGTTTACTTGCATGCGTTCTGGCGTTGATGTCTTGCTTAATTCCTAGTTCGGACGCTTGCGTTTCAAAAAAAGGGTCCGCCATGTTGAGTTGTACGTACTACTGTTGGCGCCATTGTACGGAAGCAGTGAGGCTCCCCCTCTCTCTCTCTCTCTCTCTCTCTCTCTCTCTCTCTCTCTCTCTCTCTCTCTCTTGCTGTGTCCACGTATTTATCTGTGTATACACTGCTCTCCATATGCCAACGTTCACCATGACCGGGCAGAAAAGGAAGCTGGGCGGAGAGTGTCATGCAAGGATGGATGACTTCCTTCCCCCAGGCGGCAAGGACCACAATACACTTGAAACAGATCGAAACAGGGGTCGGATCGTAGTTAGCGACCGAGAACATATAGGCAGGCTAACAAAGGAGGTGCATAAGCAGAAAGTACTGCTTAGAGAGATGTCAGACGAACTACGCCTCGTCAAGTCGCTTCTCGACGAAATGACGGAAACCGCGGAGCACAGGATGTTCACCGTGTTCTGGTTGTTGCTTGACAACCCGAAAGATATACTAGACGTTACTCGTCTGAGGGAGGACATGTCAGCCAGACTTCAGGCAATTGCTGAAACGAAGAACACCACGTTCGACGAGTTTCAGGCATGGCTGGATATTGAAAGGGAAAGGCGCACCGCCGTCTTGAAGCGGTTCTCCGCCCATGTCACGAAGACAACAAACAGGGAATCAGACGGAGGGGATGTCATGTGTCTTGCCAGCTGCAGAAAGTGTGTGCTCAAGGAGGGGTGGGCATCGTACAATTCCCAAGATTACAACACAGGTTCGCTACCTACGACGGCACGCAGCGTCGTTGATCTCTTAGCCTTCGCCGAGGACTGCATTCGCCACTGTACGGAAACTGTTGACGAGTACGGTCTGAGTGAAGTGCGTGTCGGGTCTGTTAATGACGAGCTTCCTGCAAAAATCGCGACTCTGCTGAGCAGTTGCTCCGACGTAATGGATGCCCTGCAACACACTCGAGGCAGGATGTTGGCTGGGGAATTGACGGTGACATGTACGGAAGGAGATGTTATGGGATGTGGAGAAGGTGAAATGAAGAAGGGAAGA